TAGGTCCCTCCATTCCATTCCTAAACCAAGGGCAGCTTTGGATTCACACACCAGGCAGATGGGAACAGCAGCCGTGTCCCTGCATCGCTCCCCTCGATCGCTTCTCACCGTTATTACCCCGAGATATTGATAATGCAATTTGTAGACTGAACTGTTCCCTGGCAACACATGGCCTGAAACTATTCCTGCAAATTTCCCCTGCCATTCCTGTCCAATTGAGTCAGAATCAAGTGGCTCTTTTCGCAGCCTGGGTCGGTATTTGTGTTTTGCCTGCCTTTAAGTAAATTATTTGCTATTAAATTTGGATGGCAGCATTGAGCTGAGCACGTTTAGTGTCAGCTGGGAGGAGGGAGAAGCCAGGTCTGCTGTTCTCCATCAAAGAACTCCATTTGGCACCCGAGCTGCTCACAGGCAGCTCTCACTGCTCCTGTCTTCTCCTTGGATTAGCCAGCCAGGACCAACAAACTGAGTCACCCCGTGACCAACACAGCTGGAAGTTGAGTACATTTCACAGCCAGAAGACCTTTGAGAGGGGAAAGCTTGTCCAAACACGGGCTCTCCCTTGCCCAGCTCCACCCTGAGCATCCAAGGGTGACAGATCCATCTTGACTCTCCCACTCCACAGAATCATAGAATCATTCAAGTTGGAAAAGACCTCTAAATTATCAAATCCAACCACTAAACCCAAACCCATTCCCCATTTCTTTTACTGCCTATACAAGGGAAGAAACTCAGCTAGAGTAACCAAGCTGCCACCGCCGGAGCTGGTGACAACGACAGAGGTCAGGGACAGAGCACTACGTCCAAGAAGGCGACTTACACGGGGTTTGTAAAGCAAACCTGTGAGTCTGGCGACCTTGTTCACTCCTGCAGCAACAAAGGGAGAAGTTAAACCCAACGGTTATGAGGATTCTAACCAGGGAATGCAATTCCAAGCAGGCCACGGGAACTCCGCTTTAGACGGATGCAAATCCTCGGTGACGGACACTGGGGAACTCACGGCTTCCTAACCAACACCAGCGGAGCTATCCCAAGGATGGACCAGTTTGTCATGGAAAATGGAGACACGGGACATCCCCAGAAGCCAAGAGGAGTCAACTTTCTTCCCTGATGGAGATGAACATCTTAATTAGAGTTGCACTGGCACGAGACACTTGCTGTCACACTCCAGTGCCAAATACTTGCGATAAAGTTGCCAGAGGTGGTGCTGCAGACAGGCCTTCTAATCTGACCCCTACCTACTTTGAAAACACAACAAAACAAGTTAAAGCTGCTGCTGTGAAAGGCAGCAATTGGATTTACACTGTTTACTTGAAAATACCTGCTGCTCTGTGCTGTGTGACACACGGAGCAGCGTCTGAGGGGCTGCTTGTCGCTGGGATTTAAAGCACGGCCAAAGAAAGGTCTCCAAATCCCAAATAACATAAGTGGACGTGGATTCATCACATGCAAAGGGCAGTGAGATCTCTTTCTCAGGATTTGGTGTTACGCACCACTAAAAAAAAAAAATGAGGAGGGTATGCAAAATATCCCTGGAAGTGTTCAAGGCCAGGCTGGAAGTGGCTTGGAGCAACCTGCTCTAGGGGAAGGTGTCCCTGTCTGTGGCAGAGGGGTGGAATGAGGTGGTCTTTAAGGTCCCCCTCCAACCCGAACCACCACAGGAAGAGCACTTTCCTCCCGCAACCTTCCTGTCATCCGCCTCCTTAGCTCCTGCCTGGTGCGGCAACACGACGCTCCAAAGGCAAACAAGGCTTTTCGAGCGCGTTTTACTGGCTGGGCTGTGTCACGTTGTTGTTTTCCTTCACAGCAAAATTTTATTATGGAGCAAATGCCGGGAACACCAAAGAAAATATTCTTCAGTTTAATTTTAGCACAAATGTTCTTGCTCTGAATAAATGCCGAGCTTCCTGCGGATCCGGCACTCCCTCAGAAGTCCAGCAGTTTGCTAACAGGCTGTCCATCGTTTGAGGCCCTTTTTGTTGGGTTATAGCTGCATCTTTCCAGCAAGGATCAGCTTTGGGGTAGATATGGAAGCAACAGCAGCAGCAGAGGTAACTGGGCAAAATGCCACATGCAGAAATATTCAGGATGATTCTCTTTCCCAGATTCCATCATCTGCTGTTGGTTTTCATGCACTACTTTTAAAACATGACTTTCTTCTCCAGAAAAAGTGCATGGAAAGGGATCGGTTTTTAATGTCAAATAATGCAGTGAAACAGCACAACAGACTCAGACACAGCAGAGCCTGATGGGTCAATAGTTGGAGCCTTTCAAATCCGACCCAAAGACTGGATATTTATCCAGTGCAATCCTCCCTCTCCAGTATTCCGATCTCCGTAGGAACAACCAACGTCAGGCAGGTTCATTGGCAGAGTTTCCAGGCTGAGTTTTCTAAAATACCTGGTTTTCCAGCAGAAAGGTGGCAAATTCGGGACAAACAAGCATTTCTGAAGACTTCAGTGAAATTCCATTGAATTATTAGGGACGTTCTTTAAAACAAAAAAAGATTAAAGAAAAAAACCAACAAATAGATCAAAACCAGCTAGTAGAGATTTAACTGTTTGCACTTGAAAATCCATTCCACATTTTCTGTTCATTTTTGGTCTGGCATTTCACTTCCACTCGAATTAGGATTTATCCTTGGCTCTGTCCGGCCAGTGCTGTTGCTGGATGAGTGCACCCCGTTCCCGGCCGGCTCAGAGCTGCTCCCCAAAGGCTCCAGGTGATGGAGGATGTATTTGTAGCTCTGCCTGGAGCTGTGTAATAGAGCAAACCCCATCTCCGATGATAGAAATGTAACAGCAGCCTCATGGGAGATGATCCTCCCAGAATTAAAGCAGCTGGATACTCACTTCCATGATCTCGCTGGAAGTTTGCTTCTCGTTTGCTGTTTATTTTATTCCTGTGGACAGTGATCACCAGGGAACAAATCCTAGGAGGAGCTGGGGGGGCTCAGCCTGGAGAAAAGGAGGCTCAGGGGGGACCTTCTGGCTCTGCAACTCCCTGACAGGAGGGTGGAGCCTGGTGGGGGTCGGGATGTGCTCCCAGGGAACAAGTGACAGGACAAGAGGAAACTGCCTCAAGTTGCACCACAGGAGGTTTAGGTTGGATATTAGGGAAAAATTCTTCACTGAAAGGGTGGTCAGGTTTAGATACAGGCTGCCCAGGGCAGTGGTGGAGTCACCATTCCTGGAGGGATTTAAAAGATGTGTGGATGTGGCACCTGAGGACAGGGGTCAGTGGTGGGCTTGGCAGTGCTGGTTGGACTCCATGATCTTAGAGGTCTTTTCCAACCTTAAAAATTCCATTATTCTACGGCAGTCACGCAGCTCCAATGCAAAACCTCAAATCTGATGCTGGAAACAGCTTTGCCAGCTCTAACCAGCCGTGGGGGTGGCAGTGAGACCCAGACTGTGACCCCAGGGCCGTGCACATGGGGTCTGACAAAACCCACAGATGTTACACAGCAAGAACTCTGCCAGGAGTAAAAGCACATGGAAACCAGGGACCTGCAGGATGATGCCAAATATCCCCGGTGACTTCCATGAAACCACCCACTAAATCCAGGAGCCTTGTTTTAAACAGACCTTTGGTGTGTTTGTCCAGAAGAGCTACATGACTGCAAACATCCCACTCTCTTGGAAGTTTACTTTGGCTATTTCCTCCCTCCAGCAGGAGCCAAAAGGACTTTGGATGCTTTGTGGGACCAGTGCAGCAGTGGATACCTCCCCAGATATGGTGGAAGGCTGACCTGCTCATGGCAGGGGGGTTGGACTTGGTCCCTTCTAACACCACTTCTCCTCTCAGGTCTGTAGAAAAGGCTCCACACAGGCAGCTCAAACATGGATTCTGTGGATAGGGATGAAAAGAACTACCTGGAACATCTCCCAGCACCGTGCTCAAGATGCTCAAGTCACCCACAGAACAACCTGGTCTAAAAGAAAGAAAACATTACAGTTCACCAGGCCCAGTGATTTTTCTAACAGGATGTTACCACTGCAATCCAATTTTTCCCCAAAACACCCAAATTTGGAAATAGGCTTTACTACCTCAAAGTAAATCCCAGTCTCTGATGCAGTATTTTTTCCTGAAGAATGTAGAAAAATCACAGTGATGTGCCACTACTCTCCTGAGCTTCCTGCATTATGTTGGTGCAGAAAATTAATTATTACTTAGATTATTACTTGCTGTCCACCAGCAGTTTAAACAAATAAAATGTGTAATTATAGATGAGAGCTGTGAATGACAAAAGCATTTAAATTGCCAGGGCTTCAGGATTTTCACTGTTTGTATTTACCATCCCTGGTTGACACCATGACCACCTTTTTCTTTTTTTACATGTGGTAAAAACAGGAGCAGCTTTCTCCAAAATGACCTACAGCAATTGTTAAAATAGTCAAATGAAAGACCTCTAATGCTAAAATTGAATGGCTTTTACTGAAATCTCACTGAATCTTCAATCTACAGATTTCAATGGTAAAAATGTGTTTTTAAAGGAGAGTCATTTGCCTTTTATAGAATCAAAGAATCGTTTGGGTTGGAAAAGACCTTTAAGATCATCAAGTCTGACTGATGTATTTTCAGCAATAGTCAGGGAATGGTTTGGGTTGGAAGGGACCTTTAAAAGCCATCAAGTCCAACCCCCTGTCATGGGCTGGGACACCTTCCACTAGCCCAGGTTGCTCCAAGCCCCATCCAACCTGGCCTGGAACACTTCCAGGGATGGGGCAGCCACAGCTTCTCTGGGCAACTACTTCAACAATTTCTTACTGTGCCAGTGTGAAGAGAAATGGGAAGAGGAAACAATGAAAGGACATGCAAAACCAGGGGGAAAAAAATTGAGAACTCTCCAGGCTCAGTTACTACGCTAAAGAGTTAAATTATTTTAACTGATCTTAAAAAACATTTCAAAAGTTGGGTTTGCTTCGAATACACTTATTAGGTACAGGGCCCTGTCTCCAGAGCAGGGTAAATGTGACTGACTGTCTTGGGGCTGGCAGGTAAAAATCTGTTTGCTTCAATTACAACACCAACTTAAACGAGGAAACTTTCGCATTTTATTTAAAAAACAAACGTTACAGAAAATAATAAACACATTTTCAAGTTCTTCTGGACCCTGCTGAGCCATGGATTGGGAAAGCACATTTGCACAGTCTGGAGTGGCTTGGCTTTGCACACCTGACCTTCCTAATTCAGCTTCTGCCCTGGTTTTCTATCCCTGCCTGTGTCAAAGTGCTCTCTGCCACTGCCACAGATGTTGAAAATGCAGTTTAATGTGTTGCTGGTGTTCAGCTTTCTTCCCCTCACGCCCATTTCCTTGAGTGTCTTACTCCCAGGCAGTAGGAATGGTACAGAAGCCATTCCTTTGCCTCTCTAAAATCACAGGGCAGATTTTTGGACACAGTTTATGCTCCCCAGAATGATTAATCTGCATTTAGCACCAAATATTACAAGTATCAAGGCACACAATGTGTGTGTGTGTGTGTCACAGCTACACAGCACTGTGGAACTCAGCTTCCAGTGCCTCCAGGGAGCAGGCCCATTAATAGGAATTTTGCTATCAAGCTTTATAGTAAAAAAATTGTGAGAGTAGATTTCAACATTTCCCTCAAGAACTGATTATAAAACACTTTCTAAGAGACTATTTGGAGCAAATCACTCCTTCTGTTGGTGCTCTCTGAGCAAGGCAGCCAGTTCCCTCCGTACAGAGCTACCTGAGCACAGAACACAGACACTGAGAAGGCACCACGTCATTTAGCTCTGCTTGAAGGCAAAAGCTGACAACCTGCCATTTGTGGATTGGTCCAAAGGCTTGGATTTTTTGGATGCGTTTGTGTCCTCCGATTTTTCCTCCTGGCTCCTTCTCCCTTCACCTTCGTCAGCCGTGGGACGCTTCCGCTTTTTATCTTCTGCTAAACCATTGACTGCCCCTCCTTTTGCTTTCTCAGTCCACACCTTTGAAGAACAGACAGCTACAAATTAGGCCACAAAACTCACCACTTTATTTTCTACACCTTATTTCCTGAGTTTAAGGCGCTGAAATAATTCCCGTTAAGAAGGATTGAGTCAGGACGAATTCCCTCACTTTCCTTTTTTCTAGCAGTGTTCTCCTTCAAAACTGTATTTCATTTGAGCCTGTGTATGAAATAGAAGCTCTTAATTGTCCTTCTGGACAAATAAGAAAACCCAAAAGGCCCAACAAATCGAGTCAGAACGAATTTAGGTCCCAGTGGCTTAAGCCTGATTATGTCCCTTTAAACTCCTTCCTTTCCCTTTTGTTATTTGTTCTTTGACTGTGTTTCTCTCACAAGCCCCACTTTGAAAAAGCTGCTTTCTGATACTAATTATTATTCAGTTTATATTTTCATGAAGAACATGTCACAGATCATGGCACCATTCAAAACTGAAATCCATAAAAATGGAGAACAGCAGAATTTAAAGAAAAAATTCCTGACTGAAAATAACCAAAGAGATTCAGTGGGAGGGAAAAAAAATTATCAAAACCACAGAAGTAGAGAACGTTTGCTTACCATCCTTTCCTCTGATGTCAACATTCTAAATCGACTCATGCCTTCTTTTATTACTTCTGCTTCGTTCAGATCAGGATTATCTGTCAAAATGTTTGCTCTGTTCTCCTCCAGCCACATCTGGAAACCTGTCCTTGGTCTAAAGCAAGCACACGAAAATTGCCTGGTTAAGAAGGTTATAGGAAAACCATAAAAAAAAAAATCCCCCAAAGCAACATTTCTAAACAGCACCTAATTGGATTTTTTTTTTTGTTCTCAGAAGACAAGACACCTCTAGTCAGCAGCCTCCTCTCTCCTATTTCAATATTTCAAAGAACATGCTGACAAGGCAAGACTAAGTCAAGTATTTTTATAAAGACCATGATATATATGGAGATTAACATTCCAGTTTTAGAATGACAAAGCACAATGGTTCTCTTCCTTTCTGACAGGGTCCCATCAACCTAAAAATAGAGCACATCCATTAGCATGTTTCTGCTAATCCTTCTCACAATTCTCCTTGCCACTTGTTGTAGAACATTATCTGTAAAGGTTAATGAAAAGAATGCCAGCCCAAATGAGTAATAATTACCTTCATCTTCCTCAGTTAAATGAAGTCTAAATGAAACATGATTATAATAATGCAAGTTTCATGAGGACTGGGATTGTTAGAAAATACATCTGCTCCAGAGGAACAAGACAGATTAAAGTCTTAGCTAGGAACAGACATGCTCCTTAAGTGAGTTTTTGTTTGCTTTTTTTTTTTTGTTTGCTTTCTCTTTTGAAAAACCCACCAAAACAAAGCTTTTACTCCTTCTCACAAAACCCTTAGCTTTTAGACTTTGAGATTTTGTAGAGGTGTTTAAACTTTAAGTATTTCCTATACTTGGAACTGACACAGCAGCGTGGTTTCATTTATCATTCAAAGGTCACTACAAGCAGTATCAAGGCAAAAATCACTGCTTAGAGCCCCAAAATTACATTTTGCACTGCTCACTTATTGTTCACTCCCACATTTCTGAAGTGGGTCCACAAATGTGATAACTTGTGAGCTAACCTTTAATCTTCATGTTATGCTTCTCTGGCCAGTCCAACACCTTCAGAAACAAAACAGGTTTTGGACTTGTAATTCTGTGAAAACTGGAATATGGTATTGAGATGCAACTGTCACTCACCTTCTGTTTTCAGTGTTCTCCTGTGCAGTGACTTTGACTTCATGGGACTCATTTCCTGCTTTTCCTTCTCCGTCTTCCACTGCTTTTCCTTCTCTTTCTTCCACTGCTTTTCCTTCTCTTTCTTCCACTGCTTTTTCACTAGGGTTGGGTGTAAGTGTACGAGGTTGGAAGAAGGAGGTTGCTGAAGCCTATGGAAATTGAGGTTAAAAAAGAAAAGGTAAGAACACCTCACTCTCAAATAACACATACTACTGCAGCCTAACAAACCCTAAGCCCTTCCTAAAGACATAATAATCACTTGCATTAATAGAGCATTTAATCCATCCAATTTCAGCACAGCAGAAGTTTATTCACACAATTTAAAATAAAAGCTCAAAATTCAGTGCAGAATGTAATTTCTACAACTGATTTTTTTTTCTGCTGTTTTATGTGCTTTCATAGCTTTTGCATTGTGCTTAAAATGAATTTTGCCATCTAAGCTGTTTTACTCAGTCAACGGGGTTTCATCCTTGATAAAAGCTGGTAAAATTCAATTTATTGTTCTTTGCTCACAGAAACAATGTATAAAAGACTAGAAACACTACCTGCTTCGACTTGGGTTTGGGAATCAGAGGCTTTATAACTGGAGGGTTCTGCTTGTTCACAGCTCGACTGCCAGACAAAGATGTTTTCTTTGAGTATCTGCTCATAGTGTCTAAAACATTTGCTGAGGGGACCACTGGGTCCTTTTTGTTAGATGACACCTGGGAAAACAAATAAACAGATGTTTTATTTATTTTCTGTCATGTTCTCCTGCTCTGTCCCTCCAAGGTATCTGTGATATTGTAAACTTCAGATATGATTTTCAGAGCACAGCAAAACCAGATGCAGAAATTCTTACCTTAAATGGATTCACTCGTCCTTGGCTGCTTGATGAACCTAGAACTGCTTAAAAGGAAAGAAAAAGGGGTATAAAAGTGTGTGCATGTGTGTACACACACACACACATAAATCTCTGAAGCAATGTGCACATTTTAGATGAGTAGAAAGACATTTTAGTAACCCCCTGAAGGTTAAACTATATGTGCTCAGCTATTATTAGTCATCAGAAATGCCACACAGGACCAACAGCTTAAAATACAAACCCGGAGGAAGACCCAGGACTTCCTCCACTCCCAAATCCGTTTCCACTCCTATTATTCTTGCTGGAGGGTTGGCAGGTTGCTAGAGGTCACATTCTGCCCCTGCCTGCTCACACTCACAGATCAAGGCAGGGTTTATTCACTCTGCCTTGCAAGTGCAACCAATAGATGTGCCTGTGATTAGTAAAATAAACCCACTGATCACCGTGCTCCGTTTTCCCTTTGTCCCAAAGAATGCCTTCATGGCACAGCCAGGCAGACACTCAGCATTTGGCACAGCCAAGTCAGTCAGAAGGGTGTTATGGAACATCATTAGGTAATGGAGACAGGAATAGGGAACCTCCTAAAAATGTGAGTTGCACAATCAGTGCAACCAGGACAGGTTGGACGGGGCTTGGAGCAACCTGGGATAGTGGAAGGTGTCCCTGCCCATGGCAGGGGGTTGGAAGGAGATGGTCTTTAAGGTCCCTTCCAACCCAAACCATTCCATGGTTCTGTGAAGTTACATTTGTCAACACTGTTATGGACTAACTTGAAGTAGCAGTGGGAGAACAGATGATATAAACAGGAGCAGATATTGTGAAGCATGACAAAATTCTCATCCTGGAATAAATGGAGGTTTACTCACCAGACTTTGGAGTAGTCACCTCTGCTGAAGTGACACCTTTGGAGAAAGGATTTGGCCCTTTAGAAAAAAAAAAAAAAAGAAAGGGGTATATATTGAAGTGCAATAAAATGTGATAGCATAACTGCTTTAAAAACAAAACCCCAAACAGACAGCTAAGAAAGGGGGAGGCTTGGAGCAATCTGGTCTAGTGGAAGGTGTCCCTGCCCATGGCAGGGGGTTGGAACTGGATGGTCTTTAAGGTCCCCTCCCAACCCAAACCATTCTGTGATTTTGTGATTCTATAATTATAGTGAAGTAATTCATATTTTGAAGTGTGACTTTTCATTTTTAAACCATACACTTTTACCAAACCATCTGTCATCTCTACCTAGATTTAGAGCTGTATATTTATTTCTTAAACCTTAAGCTCATTCTTAAAGTGTGCCAGGCAAACTACTCATCTATCAATTCAACTCCTGTGAGATTTGAGCTGAAACCAAAGTAAGTGCTCAGAAGGTGACCCAGCCCTTTAGGAATAGAATCAGGCAGCAGGAAAAACTCCCCAAGGGTCCCTGAAATGGTTACTAAGTACAATGCACACACAAGCTGTGACACAGCAGATGACACACACGGAACTTGTTTCTCTGCAGCGACTGCAGGCAGAGCCTGGAATACAGACTTAATTCCTGATTAAGCCTGTAAAAGTTATCCAGATAGCTTCCAGTCTATTCAGAGAATATATTTTTCTTACTCTGTTTATGCACTTCTGGAGTTTCTTCTGCTTCCTCACAGGCATCAGTTTCCTCAGCATCTTCCACTTCTTGGTCCTGCTGAACGTTCCTGACTGGCAGCTGACCCCACTCCGTGGCTGAGCTGCTGTAACTAAAGGGAAGGAAAGGAAGTGGTCACCACATTCAGAAGGAAAACTGGAACAATAGATAGCGAGCTCACTTACTTAATTTAGGAAAAAAGAACAATAACGTTTGGCATTTATGTGCATTATACCTCTGATTAAACTGTGATGATTAAATTAAATAAAGATTCATTAACCACTGCAGAACTTTGTTGCCAGAACAGTTTGCCACAAATATAAATGCAAGTTTTAAGGATCTGTAATCTCCATTTAAATATATACTTCCAGTATCACCAATAATACCAGATAACTTGCCTGCACCCCTGAATTACCACCCAGGTGGCAACATGGATATATAGTTTCAAGCTGAAACTTATGCAGCAAGTTTTAACATTTAACCTGATTATTCCCTGAATTCCAGCGCAGGAGGATGTACATTTCTTGCATTTCCCTCCTAATCTTTGCCAATTATTGAAATCTGTAAATATTAAGAACAACACATGTTTGTGATTAACTTTAACCCTCAGAGTGCTTGAAGTTACAGATATGGGATTACAGCTTCCACATAGGATCCAGAAGAACAAGCCAGAGCATTTAGAAATTAGTTTTGACTGCACAGTTTCACACAGAAGAGTAAGGAAAAGGTTGCAGATAAGTTCAGGGACTTATCACTTTCTCTTGCCTAAATAAGTCCCAAACTTCACACATAAAATTGCTATAGGAAGACATTGCTTCCAACGAAGTGTTATGACATTCTTTTCTGCACTATCAGACTAGTGGTTAGCAACTAATTTTGTTATAGTTGTACACCCAGTGGCCAAATAAGAACACAGTTCTTCTGTATGGTCTATATTAAAAATAAGAAATCCCAACCAGCCAAAAAAACCAAACCAAACCAAACAAAAAAAAAAAAAAAAAAAAAAATAAGAAATCCCAACCAGCCAAAAAAACCAAACCAAACCAAACAAAAAAAAAAAAACCAAACAAACAAACAAACAAAAAACAAAACAAAACAAAAACAACCAAACAAACAAAATCCCCAAACCTACACACAAGTTTTGCCTCCTCATGCTTTACAAAGCAGATGAAGGTAGGAGAGGAAAGGTAGATAGCTCAGAGGGAAGAATGCAAAGCCAGCCTGTAGTATGTTCCATGAATTTGAAGAGCTGAGATTATTAGTTAGGGGACAGTAAGACTAAATAGGATACACTGGGATAGGATACTGAAAAAGGGAGGGCTGGAGAGAGACAGGATTTTAAGGTAGGTGTGAAATGAATCAAGATGGAGAGACTGGTGCAAAAAGAGAAGGGAAAAAAAAAACCAGGTGGGAGTCAAATAACCAAAGCAGCACAAGGCAGGGGAAGGTGGGAAGAAAAAAAAAATTCCAGTCAGAGCAACTTAGTATTGGGCCTGCTTTGCCTCTGAAGTTGTTGAACACAGACCTACAGGAAGCAAGGAGTGGGGATATTTCCCTCTGTGTTTGTATCCCGGTGCTAATGAGTCCTCACAAGATATCAACAAGAATACAATTCGTAAGCAGAGCAACACAAACTGTTGCTTCATAACAAACACGCTGCAAACTCCGGCCCAGAAAAGCGCACCAAAATATTAGAGGAGCAGTCAGAGCGTTGCCAGGTTTTTTTAGCCACAGAAATTCATGTTACCCAGCACTCAAGTGCTTCCGGAAATCCTCTTCCTCCTCCTCCTCCTCCTCTTCTTCATCTCCCTGTGCTGTTGCCAGCTCAGTGGCTTTCTCCACAGCCAGCTGGCTGAGGCGCTGGGCGAGGTTGATGCGGCGGGAGCGGGAGGCGTATTTGATGGCCAGGCTCACCACGTTGGGAGCCATGAGGTCGGCCAGTTCCACACAGCGGAACTCCCGCTCCAGTTTGCAGGAGAGCTGGAAGAGAAGGAGCCCGGGGAGTCACACGTTTCAGCTACACAGCTCTCTCAAGACCCCAGGAGCAGAGTATTATTGTCTTGGGGGAGCAAATGAATGAAGACAAACTTCCAACAACAAGAGAAAAAGCTCTTTTTTTCTCCTTCTTCCCCCTACCCTCCCTTCATGCTGATAAGCAATAACAAGATGAACTGCAGTCTCTTATCATAGTCTGAACTAGCTGGATTGCCAGATTCCCAGTAAGAGGAATCCCATCAACATTTACATCAAATCCCATCTACCAATAAATCCCCGAATCCCAGAATGGTTTGGGTTGGAAGGGACCTTAAAGCTCATCCAGTTCCACCCCCTGCCATGGGCAGGGACACCTTCCACTATCCCAGGTTGCTCCAAGCCCCATCCAGCCTGGCCTTGGACACCTCCAGCCTCAGAGGTAACATCTCAGGGACTCTTTCTGTCACGTGTTTGTACTTACAGCAAACAGCTTCATTAAAAGTTCTTGCTGCTCTTTCACTGCCTGATTTTTAGCACTTTCATCAAATTCGTAGCCATTTTTGGATAAGTAATCCACGTGGTTTTGAAACACAACAGAACGCCAGTACTGCTCCTGGAAAAGGGAGAAGGATGTTTGTTGGAATTCAGAGGGGAAAAACCAGCCCATGACATAATGCCTAACAATTTACAATGTATTTTATCAGTTTATCCTTAAATGTTCCTTTCCTTTGATAATGAGGGTGAGGGGGAGATAATTCTCTTCAAAGCCAATGCCTAGTGAGGAAAAAATAGACCACACTAACAACCACCCATATAAAAACTGATTCAAACAGTTGCCATATATGTTAAATTCCATTTATACTACAGGCTTGCAAGCAGGATGAGACCTACATGTTCACCAATATGCTACCAGGACAGAGAATTCTAGAATAAATTGATTATTTTAGCTTATAAATGCTGTCCCACAGCAAACTGGAAGTACTCCAGAATAACTCAGTAAATGTGGGAGTTTACCTACAGAAAATACAACTCTGGTTGTTCACAAAATGCTGTAATGGCTATTAGACCAGCCTAGTTCTGTTCAAAATAAATACAAACTTATTCAAACCCACTGTGTTTTCATCAGATGTATTGGAATAATTTGTTTCTATATCTATACATAGTCCCTCAAGCCAAATTAGCAGTTCCTGGCATTCTCCTCCCATTATTTTGGGTGAAGGGAGGAATGGAAGACAGACTCTATCAGATAAAGAACAAAACGACTTAACCAAATGAAGGAGAATTCATTAAAAATGACAGTGTGTTTATTATTGACATTTTTATCTACGCGTCTATCAAAGAGAATAAATTTCAAACAGCACTGAACTCTCTCTAAGGCTGAGATTAGATTTTTATGTTCATTTCTATTCTGTGCATTACAGCTGAGCACCACGAGTTTGAAATGTTTAAACCAATAAAAATTGAAGAATAAATACAGGTATTTTTCTAGAAATTCTCCACAGGCACATCTTGCTTCAACCAGCCTCTACCTTCAGAAAAAAAGTCAAGGGGGAAGGCCTATGTGTTCAGAGCAATTATATGAATTTGAATACTTTCATCTTTCAAAAAGACACCTCCCAGAAATTTTGTTATGCCTAAAATATTAAAAAATAGACATTTTCAAGGGGATCTTGATTGGGATCCCAAGATTTGGTATCTCTACCCACTAAAAAAACCTGAGAGGGTGAGTAAGACTTCTCTGGTCAGAAACAGATTATGTGTAAATACAACTTTGGATCAGTTCTGGCAGCTTTATCTTGCATCCTTCAGGAAACAGTTGTGAACCAAATCACATGAGACAAAACAGTGAACCCAGATAACCTCCTTAGCCATGTGTCTTACTCAGGGTTTGCACTGTCCTCTTTCATAGCAGAGATGATTAATAGGAATCTTGTATAATCCCTGCTACGGGGACACCTGAGAGTACCAGCTGTGGGCTCGACACCATTCCATACCTCCATCTGCCCCTTTTCTGTTGTAACTTGGCAGTAAGGAAGCTGAAAAGGTAAAATTGCTACAGCAGGCCGTGGCAGTGTGGGAGGGAACCGGGATCCTTTGCAGGGAATACACCTGTGCACAGGAAACAAAACACACCTGCAGTTGTTCCAACACCTAAATCGCGTCTTCCTAAGAAGCAAGATACTTTAAGAGGATTTGCTCTTTAAAAAGTAGTAATCAAATGACTGGATTAAACATGGCAATATGTAAGATTGCATCACAAAGGGTTGTTTTTACGTGGCAACCAAGGAAAGATTTCCAAACCAGCAAGGCACACACTGCTCTTGTTCCCACTGCAGACTCCGAACGTGGCACGTAACACACGCTGCTCTTGGTCTCACACAATACATGATTTAACAGCTACTACGAAGAGTAAATGCAATTCATTTAAATCTGAAACCACTGAACAACAGAAGGCACAGACTTACTGTTTCATTACATTTTAAACAAGTGCTTTCTGGTAACAATCACCTAAGCAAACCATTGATTGGGGAGGAGCTGTATTTCCAGCAGCACCAGTGCAGCATTGACAAAAACATCTGGTTTTATAAGCTGCTGTGTCAGAGACTTGAAAAAAAAAAAGAACAGGAAGCATTAGTGTTCTGGCTATCTCTTAATTAAGGCATGTGGTGTTTCTACAACAACCCTCCCCCCTCTCCCTTATCTTTATTATGCTGCTGGTTTTGAGTAAAATGTTCTTTGTAACTCAGAGAGCAGCACAGTCTTTCTTGGACTAGAGGGAAAAAAATCATGATGACAGACTCACAGTTGACCATCTCATCAATGTGATGTGTCCTGCACATTTTTGGGGAATTTTCTGGATTTAGAAGGAGAAACAGGCAACAAAGTGACATTTACCAGAGATATCAAATTATTTCCCTTATTCCAAAAAAGCAGAGGATTACGAAGAATGTCACATAAGTTTAAATAAAATGCAGTCTCCCACCAACCTCGACAATTGTGCATGACTAGTAAAGTCAAAGAGTCTGAATTTCAGTAAAATATGTGAGCTGATGGAATCTGCTCTGTTAGGAAAAGGACACAGACTCCTGAATAAAAAGGGATACAAATAAAGATTAGCAACTAAATGTCCAGGATGCATGTTACAGTAAAGAGAAACAGTTGTTTAGACACACCACTATCACATTTTATAAAGAAATGGTTGACTTTCAGATAAATATTTGAGCAAATTTACATACAAAATTGTTCTTTGTGGCCACAGGTTAAATATTAATATAACAATAACAGACAGCTCTGATTTATCTATGTCTGATTTATCTCTTAATTTATCTCTGTCTAATGATGGAGATTAGTTATAGGATTGGATTCTTTTCAAAGCACAGAAGGGGAAAATGCAGGGGGAGATCAATAAAACCCCAACTCCACAATCAAACCCCAAAACACCATGAGCAGGAGAAGCAGATTCCTGATAGGATCCACAACTTTTCAGCAGGATTCTTTACCAAACTGCAGCTTTATGAATGTGCTTGCCTCAGAGATGTGTGATTTCACAATGAAGTGCACACACACCTCTCAGCCAAGGCAAAAAGCCACAGTTAACCAGTTCCAAGTTATAAAACTCTAATGAGTTTATTCAAAACCAGTTTAATTCTGCATGGATGATTCATTATTATATTTAGGAACTAACCATTTGCTGTGCATATTTACCAGCCACCTGTTTCAGTAGAAGATCTTTCCAGCCTCTCTCAGTAAAAAGTGCTCCGGGATTGAAAAACCAAGACAAAACAAAGTGTTTCCTCGTGAATTATCTGACCTGAGCTGCTGGGGGTTTTCATGGATGCCAACGACCCAGTAGTGATCAGATTTTCCTTTGCATTGCTCCCTGGTGTTGCACACTGGAATCCAAGTGTTCCCAAGCCCTCGGTTCAACATCCGCACGATCCCCTCGGAATCCACGTAACAAGGGGTACCTGTTTGTCACAGATGAGAGCAGTTATTGTCACATATCACAGCACCAGCAAGATGGAAGTGGTGGATAGGGCTGGGAAAGGATGGTTTACATGTCTCAAATACGACATCCTCTCTCCCAAAAACACAGTACGAATTAGTCGGGGGAAAAAAACATTTCCCTTGGAAAGATGCGCCACCTTCTGTCAGTCAGCGCCACTGCTGGTCAACTGACAGGTTCACATTTGAAACACTTCATGAAGAAATCAAGTTCACACTGCTTGGGGGGATTCCCAAGCTATTTTACAATTATTCTTTCTGGTCATCATAAAAACTCCTCCAGAAAAACCACGAACTTTGGGGGCATCAGGGAGCACTGATGCAGTTTTTATTTCTTCTTGCTGAGCAGGGAAACCAATCAGGAGAACGAGTTCTGGTAACATTCAAGTGTATTTTATTCCTAGTGGGAAAATATTAAATATTTTTGATAAATATCTTGAAGGAATAGAAAAAGAGATTTTTTTTTTTTAGCGTTGGGGAGATAGAAAATACAAAGTCCAGGTCCCAGATCATCATTACTAAGAGGGTATTAATTAGTGAAACTCCTCCACAGAATCCCAGAATGGTTTGGGTTGGAAGGGACTTTAAAGCCCATCTCATTCCAACCCTCTGCCATGGGCAGGGACACCTTCCACTAGCCCAGGTTGCTCCAAGCCCTGTCCAACCTGGCCTTGGACACTTCCAGGGATGGGGCAGCCACAGCTTCTCTGGGCAACCTGTGCCAGGGCCTCACCACCTTCACAGGCAGGAATTCCTTCCCAACATCCCATCTAACCCTGCCCTCTGCCAGTGGGAAGCCATTCCCCCTTGTCCTCTCACTCCAGATCCTTGTCCAAAGTCCCTCTCCAGCTTTCCTGTAATTCCCCCAATAGTGTCAATATTTCTCAACACCACTCATGCAGGTATTTCATACCTTCTGCAGAGAATCCAACCCATACCAAATACGATTTCCTTGTAAGAGAAAGAGGGTCTCCATGCAAAATTTGCCTTTTCTTCTTTCCCAGCTCCATCAGCTGTACCCCGAGGCACTGGTCCCCATCAAACCCAGTACCTAGGAAGAAGTTGTTCAATGACTGTGTTAGAAAACAGAAGACAGAATTGTCTTGTCTCTTGGCTAAATTAGTTTTGAATCAAAAACTAATTCTAATGCAGGGTTACCCCTGAATACCACTGTCAGACAAGCAACTGTTTGTCATTTTGGACACACCAGGCATGCATAACAACTGCTTCCTTAATTTCCCATGGTAATTCATTCTGGCACATCTGAAACCCAAGTTTAATCCATTCATGTCAGTGTTACAAAATTCTCCCCTTCCCCACAGGTTCATCTCAGCTTTCCATTATAAAACACAGGCTTTGCTGTCAGAAGTCCCAGATCCGTGGGTTGTGACGGATGTGCTCGTAAAAGCATCACCCAGAAGAGGAGAAGGATCATGAAGAAAAGGAGGAGAAAACACTTTCTGGTGATTACATCCAAATGAACGTGAAGCCAGTAAGAGATGAGGATTGAAAACAACCCTGGTTCAAAAAAGAAAAAAAAAAAGACAAAAGGGAGAAAACTACCTCTGTGATAAATAATCATCAGCTGCTCTCCGTGCCCTGCCATGGACACCACTGGGCCTGGGAGGCTGAAGATCTCTCTCTGAACTCCTCCAACTGTGAACACACGGACCAGGAAGGCACTGGTGGCACAAGCAGCCCAGCCTTGGCCCAGGCAGATGGCCTCAATGTCCTCATCCTTTGGCATATCCACTGTCCACTCCTTGTTGGCATCCCAGGAGCCAAAATGAATGCAGTGGAGCTTGCTAAAGCACAGACAGAGAACACACAAATATGAATTAAAATACAGTACCTGAAAATACACCAGTATTTTAGACTTTTATCAGAGACTTGCAATCGTGATGGAACTCCACATTACACATTTGCAAAGGTGTTGCTCTTATTATTCAGAAACTGAAGAGCCAGCTTGACCTTTTAGAGCCTCCAAAGCCTAAAGCAGAGACAGTTAAAAGGTCTGAGGGGAGATTTTTTAGAAGGAAGCAGGTAAATATCCTGCTTAATTAACATTAGTAAGAACCGAAGGTGCTTGGCACCTCTGAATATCAGCCCTCATTCCGAGTCTGTTGTACTATGCTGCCTCTCAAAAAGGAAGAAAAAATTAAAAACTTCAGTTCTGCCACCTTAATAATTGAAAACTGCTTGTGACCAATCCACAGACACTGTGGCTTTTAAGAGATTTCCCATTTTCACTGAGGAAAAAAATTACACTTTCAAAGTCAGACAACCAACAAAAAACCCAATATTTTTAAAAGTAAAGAGTGCCTTTCAACTTATCACAATGTTGTATGTGTGAAAGTAAGAAGAAAGTTCTTTCTTCAAGATGTTTCCCCAGAAATCAGCAATACAATATTGTTGCTATTGCTCTTAAATGTAAGAACAGAGTCTAGATGGCCCAGCTGCTTAAATCTTTCTATGGTTTCCATAAACTTGTGTTCCTCACACTTATAATTCCTTGGGTATCTCCGAACATGTCTCCTTGGCAACAGTGTGAAAAGAAACAGCTGAACCCTTATGACTGATCTTTGATCTGAGCAGACTGAAAAACTATTGTTCATGTTTACAATTCCCTTTGAGCCTGCAATGCGTGAAGTTTCCAGTATATTTATATTTGGAAAAGGGATTTAAAAGAAACCGTCAGGAAACAAATTACATTTTTCAATACTCTCGACGTCTCCAAGTGGGTGGATGTGAAAGTCCTCCTCTAAGGTGGTCCCATAAAAAAATTTAAAAAAAAAAAAAAAGAAAGATCAAAAGCCAAAAAACTCAAAAAAAAAAAGTGATAGAAGCTGGAAAATAAAAGCCGAAATACTTGAAACAAGTGAAACGTGGCTCCATATCATGGGTTTTGCAGAGCAAGGCCATGACTTACCTTGCAAGTTCCTCTGTACCCTCACAGGCCAGCAAAATAGCTTCAGCAGAGAGGTCAGCCATGGTGTGGTTCAGGGAGTTGGGCAGGTGTGTTGCATGATGCACAGAGGTGTCGTGGAATTCTACATCTATGGCATTGTCCTGCTCATCGTTGTAACAGCGGATGATACCAACTGAATTCCACACCTAGGAGAAAGAACCAAAAAACTCCCATCAAATCAAGCACACTGGCCTAAATCAGCCTGCTCTGACTGTGTTGTCTGAAACAAGAGTGGGTAGGAGGCTGGAGGAAGACTGAAGACTTGTGTAATCAGGACTCGTGGTTCCTAAAATGGCTGAATTAGGCAGAAATTGGTTTCATCCTCCTGGCTTAGCCATCCCTCTCCTTGCAAAATTAAGTGTGAAGAATTTGCAGTTAGAAAGAAACAGTGGATGATTAACATGCAAGTCTTGACAGCACAAAAATACCCACAATTCTGACTAAAAAAAGAATTTTAAAACAGATCTGCTAGAATTCAGTGACATGAGCACAAAGTGGATAGTTTGCTTCTGGACTCAATCTCAGAGGTCTTTCTTCTCCAGCCTAATTGATTCTGTGATTCTGTATTTATCTCTAAAACAACTGAAATGTAAACCAAAACATTATGGAGTCTTTGCATTAACACAAAGCCATTTTTCATTATTTAGCTTCACACTGTGAAGTATTAAAAAAAAAAAAATAAAAATCAAAAATCTTGGATAAGATTAGATTAAAACACAATAAGAACTGGGCATTATTCAATGTAAAAAAAAGCACCTAAGTCCACATAACCACATAGATTTACCATGAATCGATGCATGAGATGTGCAGGAGTGGAGCCAGACTGGAAGGGCCTTTGCTTGGGGGTTGGCATTGGCCCATCATAAAAATGCTGCTGTGTAGATGATGGTGGCAAAGCTGAAAAGCCACCAGTCTGATCATCACCATCTTCCTCCTTTTCAAGAAGGCTGGAGCTAGCTTTTATCAACCCAATATCTGTAAGTAAAAAAAAAAAATAAATAAATTACATTTTACACACAGTATTATGACAGAATTTAGGTGAAAAAACTTAAGACAGTCAAGATTTATCTGGAAAAATAAATCAGAGTGTATCTGAGTGGAGGATGCTAAAGATCATCCCAATAAAAGCAATAAATGGAAATTAGTTCATTCTGTACCTAGTGAGTTATCATCCTCATCAATTATTGCCCTTCTTGGACGGCCTGAAGTTAGCATAAGGTCACCATCATCATCTTCATCAGCTGCAGGGTTTGGGGAGGACTGAGGTTCAACCATATCTCCATTGAAATAGTCGTCGTCGTCTCCATCAAAGAGATCGTTGTAGTCCTTGGCCACTGCACTGGCAACCTAAACCCAGACCAACAATCACCACAACACTCCCTTTGGACATGGAACTCAGGAAATCAATTAACACACAAGAGGGAACTTGCAGCACACAAAGCAGAATGTTCAGTATAACCTATAACCTAAATAATGGGTGTCAATTTAAGAAATGATTGGCGCTGAGCACCTTGTCCTTTGGCTTCTCTACAACGCCAACATTTTCCAGCAGCCCCAGATTTCCTTCAGTGTCTGTGTAAGCAACTTGCTTATATTTAGGGTGCCATGCCAGTCCACAAATTGAGTAATTTTTCTCATGCTTCATCCTAAAAAGAATACAAAAATAATGGATTTTTGGCAAGCTCCTCAGGGCAGAACCCCCGCCCCACCCTGAGAGTTATTGTAAAAAGCAGTAACATTTAGTAGCACAAGAAAGTGATGTTACACATAACAAAATAACTAACAGGTCACCTTTAGAATAAATAGCTTCTACAAAAAACAGAGAAAGTCTTCCTTTTCTATGAATGAAATCAATTAAGCTTTAAAAAAAAAAATCAACAAACAACAGCTTCCTGATACATGTAGAAAGGACAAATTCCCCAGCAGTCCTATATTCCAGAAACATCTAGTTAAAAGAACATTAGTAGTTTCTCTTGCACCAAACTGATGAGTTAATCCTCTATCTTTTCCACCCTTTATCCTCACAAAAAATAAACCCATTAATTATTTACATAATCTGTCTTTAATTCTTAACATAGGCATTGCAGTACCCAAAATACTCAGGCAGATAAATCATCTCTTTTCGTCTTCTCTACCTCATTTAATAATAATCTTCTTAATTTTTTTTTTCATTTTTTTTTAAAGAGAGATGCTTTAACTAACCAAGAAAAAGTGCAATTCACCAGTCTGTCTTTTTTTGTGAGGTGAGGGTGGCTGACTGACTTACCTGCATTTCCCTCTCCCTTTGGAAAACACATCTTACTGCCAATGATCTTGGGCTTTGTGATGGAGGGACATTTTTGTTTCCATCAAAACTATCCTTTAATCAGCTATTAGATTAAAAAGTCATAAAAGATATTTGCACACAGAAAACTAGACTATGGAATTTGAACAAAATCCACATTGATGTCCCTTCCCTAAGCTGCCTGCCAGGTTAAACCACGACATCCTCTAAATATTATTATGATTTTTCAAGAGGCAGAGTTCTATCTTTGCACAAAAAGGTTTTACAGAAAAGACAACAGAATTCTTTTTCAGGAAAAAAAAAAAGATGTGCTTGGGGATTTATGGAACAACACTGAATACCTCTCTATGCACTCCTGGGTTTCCACATTCCACACCACTATGCTCCCATCCACACTTCCAGCTGCCAGGTACTGCCCACAAGGAGACCAGGCCACAACATTCAGGGGCTAAGGAAAAAAAACAAAACAAATAACAATAAAAAAAATTACCAGTGCATGCACAGCATTCCTCTTCTGGAGCTTAAAACAGACAGATATTCTGGAATAAAAAAAAATTCATAATAATCAGCTTTACCAGGTCATATCCAGCCCCCACTACTGGGCTTAGGTAGTTCCCTTTCTTTAAAAATTATTATAAAGATGGTGTCTAAAAAAAACAAACATTCTTTAAAGATAGCACACCTATTTTTGGTTTAGAATATCCATCTTCTGTCATAAACCATGAGGTTGAACTAAACCCAATTCTAAACACGTAGACAGAAGCAGAGTGTACTTTGCAAACTCAGCACTAAATGTAGCTTTATTTATTTTGAACTTTATTAAGTTCTACAAATTTAAATCCATTAAAATGTGTGTTCTGCATCTTAATAACACTAGGAAGGTGATTCTCTTTAACCCAAAGATTTCCAAGTACACAATGAGCCCAAAACAAAGAGGATGGGACAGTTAGGGCTACTAAATTTCAGCTTAATAAAATATAAAGTGAAAAACTGATATCTCTGTTCTGTATAGAAATAATACCCTTCACATTTTCCCTAAAAAGCTCTGTATTTAGAGCAACTGGTGAAAACAGATGTTCTTCAGCTGCAGTTGGTGACTCACCAGGAGACTTTAGAGATCCAGTGGGTTACTGTAAGTGAAAGAGGGGAAACCAGAGCCACACAAAGATGTTTGACATCAGTTAGTATTTCTGCCCTGATTTCCAACAGAAAGTAACAGGATCAGTAATTAAATAGAAAAGGTGAACAATCATTACCAAGAGAAGTGGGAAGATACTGTCCAGAAGATAATTTCCAGCAGAATAACATTTAAATTACAGATTATTTAACAAGCACCTGGTTCATGTACCCACCAGTGTGATGGAGGCATCTGATAGATCCAATTGACTATCCCAGGTTTCTCTTCTGTACAGTTTAACAACTTTATCTACAGGAACTGCCAGCAACTGCTCAAAGGAAAAAAATATGAGACAATTTAGAACAGATTACCTGTCAAAGAGAACATTCAAATAGCACAGCTCCTTCATTCAGAAGCCTCACAGATGTGACTGCCTCAGTATTTAGCAGCTCTCTAAAATCCTAGCAATGCCAACTGAGAGAGAAAGCTGAAGTAATTTAAATTACAAGGTTCTTTAATGCTTTCCACATGTAACAGAGCAAAACATGTCTGTTTTTACTTTAATCTTCATTTCCTTCTGGCAGAAAACTGCACCATAAGGTTAGAAGTTCTCATTTATCAAGCAGCTGACACACACACACATATAGTTTTCAATGCTCTGAGCACAAGGATTACATTATTCTTTCCCCTTCCTCCCTCCCCAGACTCCTTTTGATCAGGTTACAATTTCTCAGTAACTCTTATTTGAATAGCTGATTCCTGAAACAGCTTGTTCCATCTTTCACAGAACTACATAAATGTTACTGGCTGTTTATTTCTTTAGGATTTATTTTTGTTAGGATTCTAGCAATTTGCTTTGTAAGAGAAGCAAGACAATTGCTTATATTTCATATACATGTCTGTGTGAGGAATTGGGCTAAAATCTGGAAGCATTTGTTTTTATGGAAACTGTTTTTACTGCAGGTGACATTTGCACTTCCACAGAAAATTTATATGTAACACTATCATAGCAGCCAGCTATTCTGAAGAATCATGGAATCATTTAGGTTGGAAAAGTCCTCTGAGATCAAGTCTAACCATTAACCTAACACTGCCATCTTCACCACTGACCCATGTCCCCAAGTGCCACATCCACACGGCTTTTAAATCCCTCCAGGGATGGAGACTCCACCACTGCCCTGGGCAGCTGTGCCAGGGCTGGACAGCCCTTCCCATAAAGAAATTTTTCCTAATATTCAATCTAAACCTCCCCTGGCACAACTTGAGCCTTGTCCTGACACTTGTAACTTGGGAGAAGAGCCCGACCCCCACCTGCCTCCAACCCCCTTCAACTTTGTTCTTCAAGTAAAAAGAAAGGGAACAACTTGCTAAGGAAATACTTACAGAGCAAAATCACTGATAGGGCAAAGTTTACTTAAAGCAGAGAAAGCCTGAACTCCTTTGATGGTCTGTTGTGAGCAATTTGATTACTTCCCTCATGTACAATGTTCCTTCCTATTCAGCACAACGCGACTGTTTAACGCTGCTTGGGGCTGACAGCTGGACTAGAGCCAAACACAGCCTGGAGCTTAAACCAGGAACCATTCCCAGCTCTTCATTTTTCCCAAAAGGGAACTTCACCCCAAATATTTTTCCTGCTGCCAGGAGGTGCAATCTGGGCTTGCCCGGATTGAATTCCGCTGTTGGAGTCAGAGAGAGAGAAGAAGGATTAAGATGTGATGAAACACTGTCACTCACCTTCCCAGTGCCAGGTTGCCAGCCAAGCCTGCAGATTGATTTAGCATTTATCACATCATTACACTTCTGCAGCAGCTGCCAGCTTGTTGTGCATGTCTGAAAACAAAATATTAAATAGAAAAAAAAAAAAAGCTTTCAAGCTCAGCGAAAATTTACTGTATTGTACAAATTCTTAAAGCGTGTGAGAAAGCAAAAGGAAAAAAAAACCCACATAATTTTTGGGACTGAAGTAATCTCTTTCATTCAAATACAGTGGTACATACTGCCTTAAAAATACTTTGTCAATGTAGCCCTGAAACTATTTTAATGACAATAAAACTACTTGTAACAGAAATAAAATCACGGAACATGTATTTTTAATCAAGTACAGAACAAACAAGCTCATCTACTTTAAAGTTACAGAGAAATGTGGCCAAAAAGCATCTGTCAAACCTCTATCAAGTGCAGCAAGGTGGCCTGAATGTGGCCACAGCAGTATAAAGATATATAAAACTATAAAGAATGAATGGCTGTAATCTCAAATCACAGCACAGATTCACCCATCAAACTGCCACAATCCTAGAATACTCTCACTGTAATTTCCCCAAAAGGAGAATCTCAGTCTGGAACAGGAGACTTCACACCAGAATTATGCTTTTTTCTTTAAAAAGTAGCAATCCACAAGTGTGGAGGGGTATATTTTCAACTGTACTTACAGGAATAATTCCACAGGGATTCTTATTCCAGTCAACAGCATTTAGCAAAACTAATCCCATATCCACATGCAGAATTCTCTTATTAAAGCCTTCACCTGAAACTGTCTTTTCAAATTCCTTAGAGTTCCAAGAGCAGAGGCTGAATCTGTCTATTACAATTAATAAATTGTTTTTACTATAATAAAAATTCTTCCTTAATCCTGAAGGCAAGGAGCTGAAATCTCAAAACGAGGAATCTGATGTCAATTCCCATCTTCACACAGCAGTGCTATTTTTGAATGTGCCAAGGACAAAATACCCAATGTTGGCCAATTAGGAAAGATGAACAGAAGACACCAGGGATTTCACAGACAGGAAGAACAATCCACAGCTACCCAGGCAACATTTCATAATCAGGCTTTGGAATTTCTCCCAGAAGTACATAAAAGTAAACTGCAAAGTGTAGTTAGAATTCTTCCCCCAAAAGAAAATCCTGTTCCAGGAGGGCTATTTCAGTCCAGCTCTCCTCGCTGTCTGTGAAATCCTGGATTTTTTAGGAAACAGTTAGCATGGAAAGGCAGGCCTTTTACCTGATCTTCAATTTTCCAGACTCTGACAGAGCCATCACAGCTCGCCGATGCCTGGGCAAGAGAATTTTGTAAACAAATTAATAATTAAAGACATAGGGAAATTAAAGCTACAAAATGGAAAAATCCCCAGAACCGATGCAGAATAGACACATGACACACAGGCAGTTTTAAGAAGAAAGCCTCCCTGTTTAAACCATTTTAGGACTTAAAACCTTCTAATACTGTCATCTTCATAACTGTGCTCAACTCCAAGCTACTGCAATTGCAAACCCTTGTACTTCAAATGAGCTGCTTATTTGCAAAAGAGGCTCAAAACTAATATTGAATTTCTTTAGTGAGCCATCTTTTCTCCTCTAAAATCAGATCAGCATCAGATTCCAAAAGAACAAGACACAGAACTGAGTTCTCCTGGGAGAACAAGTTGTGACACACTCCATCAGCAGCCAAAATTAAGTTGTCTCATGTGCCCAGTCACTGCTTGGTTTTTGGTAAAAACTACATTTTTAGTTCTTTTTTTCCCCCACTAGGAAAAAATAAGATTCAAAGTAGAAAGTAAACAAGAAAGTCTTTTTTACCAGGTAAACATCCTTGGGGTCAAAAGACAGGCTTAAAACAGGAGCCTCGTGTCCTCTGAATGTTTTCTGCTTGCTGCTGTCAGTCACCTCCACAACTTTGATCATAAAGTCACTGCACATCCCAATGACACAGACATAAAAATATTAACAGTGACAAACTATGTGTTTATGGCAATAAAAACTGGGTACCAAATATCTTTTGGGGAAGTTACAGCTCTCAACACTGTATGACGTAATGGAAAATGAGAATCTTGAGGCTTACAACACTAGGAGTACAGCCAGACTATTTTTATCAGAAAATCACTTTTGTTCGTGTCAAAGTTCATAAAATATGGTTGTTCTCTGAAGAATATTATGTACACACAGACCACATACCTGTTTAACATAATATTCTACCTGACCTCATGAAAACCTCTGCTTAGATACCACTGATGACTTAACAAGAACTATCTGCTGAATGGGACCAACATTCATTAGCATAATTATTAGGTCACGTGGCTTTTAAAAACAGATAAAGCAAGGAGTTTATTTTGTGACATTTTAACAGGATTTTTAAGACCATTCACTGGAATTCTGTAGCTTTATTCCCTCCTCCAAAATTATAGCAATTAAATCAAAACACCAATCCTAACTCCTAGGGCAAAGAGCTCCTGCAACAAACTTCCAGTACCACTCCCTCTCGTGCTTCATTGCAACACCCCCAAAGAGAAATTTCATTTTAGGACCTAATTCTAAAGAGTGAACCATTACTTTTAACTCTTTTCAAATACTTCATGCGAACTTTGGCAGCCAGTTGGATGTTAAACTTGTATAAAACTGAAGTTTGCAGACTTCATGTTAAAAAATGGAGAAATTTGGGACAACCAGAAGCAATTCTTCTTAGTTGCACTCCTTCACTTCATGGCTGTTACCTTCTCCTTCAGTATGTCACAGAAGGCCTCACTGAGGGGTGGCCTTACAGTCTTATGAGCTATTTTTCCTAAAAATATGAGAGCCTTGGCCAGGCTGCAGAAATCCTGGGGTTTTGGGAAAGTTTTAGAACCAGCAGAGAGTTTGCTGTCTGCCTAATCTCCCTAATCAAAGTGAGATCCTGGGGCAGAGCTGTTCCCTCAGAAACAAGCACTGGCAAAGGGCCCAACCCCATGATCCCTGCCAGATTTGGAGATCAGGGTTGTTGCTGCCCACAGCTGCCCAGCCTCCCAGTTTTGGTGGAGCTGGTGTGTCTGTTCCACAGCTGCCAGAGTTTGCAGTCCAGCATATTCATCCACATTGCTTTCTGGTTCAATCCACACTTAGAGGAGCCAGGGAGCAGACACAACGCTCTGCCATCTCCTGGAGGACAAATTCCAGAAGAGAGGCAAGCAGACAGCCTGAGTTGCCCAAAGAGCTCAGCACATCCAATTGAGAATCACCTGAGCCTTAAACACATGGAACAAAAACAGCAATAAAACCCATTGCCTAGTGGATATTTTGCCATCTCTGTTAAAGGACTAGAGTACATTATATAAAAGCCAATGTGCTGCCCTAAGAAAAGAACTAAACCACACATTAAATTCCCCTCAGGCAAGTCTTTCATCTGTCATCTGTTATCAAACGGCAGATTGGTGATATTTATGCCACAGAATGACTCAAAGCTCTCACACAAATCAGAGCCCATCTAACTTTTACACGTGTACATTCAGCTGCAGCACCGTGACCCTGAGCAGTCGGGACATTTACCCTCGTCCTCAGCTCACAGTGACAAAATCCTCGATGCTGCAACGAGATCCATGTGGGTGAACACTTACACCTCAGCCTCAGAGCCGAAAACACTCAAGCCTACCAAAGCAAAAAGAATTATTTCACACCAGATTTCTATTTAAAACTATTTGGTGGATCGAGTATCTCTCGGAGCATCATTTCCTAAACTCCTTTAAATTCCTTTCTTCCCCTCCGCTCACAAAAGGCATTTTCCAATAGTTTTAATCCCTAAACCTCTGAGGGCTTTATGATCTCCTTGCTAAAAATCAGCATCCGAGGAAGCTGGCAGATTTTGGACAGCAGTAGTAATGCTTTTCCTTGCACAGATTACCTGGATCCAGCAGCAATTTTGGTGCCACCACTGCTGAAGGTGACGTGGTTGGCGTGCATGGTGAAACGAGTCAGGATTCCATCGGGGGCTCCCTCGGGAAATGTGTGGATCTGAACAGTGTTGTTCGAGACTGCTGTGATCAGTCTTCCATTCTGAAAACGAAATTCATCGCAGAATTTTATTAAAAGCATATTTATGCCCATGGAGAAAACAAAAAGAAAAAAATAAAAGTTACTCTGATGCTCCAAATATTTGGGCAAATTAACTTTATTAGTTCCAAAAGGGTCTGACAGTAAGAGGAGTAGGGAAAATACTCTAACTTTGATTCCTTCCCTAAAAAGCACAGTAGTTTTAGTACTTTATCAATTTAAAGTACTTTATCAAATCCTATTTAGATTCATATGCTGCAGCATCAGGAGAGGGCACCCTTGCACTGGAATTCTCGGTTAAATGCCACCAGGGAAAGATGAGAAGTTCATGAACTACAGCTCAGCTCTCTGCAGAAAACAGAAGGCAGGTCTTTGCTAAAAATGAATCCAGATTCAAAGAAATGCAACACAAAAGAAATAATTATCCCATACTTGGAAAATAATATCTCTTCTTCAAGTGGCAGTACTATTCCTCAGCTGTACAGAGCAGTAAAATTTTGAAATATATATAAAGGAATGCCTTATTTCCCTTTTTTGTGTGTATGTTGAGGGGGGAGGCTGCATTGTGGTTGTTTGGGGTTCTTTTAAGCTGCCAAAAGTCACAGCAAAAATGCTGAAGGTAAAGAAAGCAGCAGTCAGTAGTGAATAACCCAGTTAAAGAAGAGCTGAGATTTATTACCTAGATTACATCAACATCTCAGATCAGTCCCTCATGACATTTAATTAATGAAGACTAACTTCTGAAATAAGATTTCCTGATGCTTAAGTCTCTCACTGTTTAAAAATAAAAAATCCCTCAAAACTAAAAGCACTTTTTTTTTCAGATTTTCCCACTAATATTAAACCCAGGATTTTTCCTCATCTATTCTTTACTAGTTTTAGCAATTTCTGGCTCTGCCACTGATTTGCTGAGAGAACCCAATCAAGTGACCTCACCTGGTTTGTGAAAGAATAAATAATGAGATGAAAATCAACAGCAAATCACCCTAAAAATCAGTGATGAAAATAGATTATACAAGTATTGAGGAATAGATACATGAGGTATGTTAAAAGAGATATTAGAAAGATGTTTATATTAAGGCAGTAGTTCTGAATAAAGTTTCAAATGATAATTCTTAAAATAAAATATATATATGTTAATATTTATTTATTTCCTCTTTCATACACCTTCCCAAAATCACAAGTGGTTGAAAAACAGTTTTAAAGATTCCCTTTATCACTGCCAAGTTAACTACCCAGTATGTGAAGAACTGATGTAGGCTTCTGGAATTCTTCTCTTCTTCTAAAATTTCCACAAAGACAACATTTTAGACCTGCTATTATTAATGTAATATAACCATAATTGGACACGAAGGAAGTACTGTGAGAATTCTCAAGCTAAATACATGAGCGTGCATAGTAAAAATAATTATTTTCTATTATATAAATTCTCTTCTCACTTTGGGGATGGTGGGTCAGAGGCAACTTTGGGCCAAATGACAATTCTGAGAGTGAAATATCAACCAATTATAAAAAAAAAGTGTTACCAAAACATTACCCAACACCCACCTTGTGAAAGCAACTTTTGAACTAATACAGATTATAATTCCTTGAGCCTTAACACAGACCCACATAAAACAACCTCTTGGCTTTTTTCCTAATACCTGATGATCACATCTCATGCTGGGAAACTTCCTGCAACTCACATTGTGAGAAAACACTGAAACAGCCTAAAAAGTTCACTGCATAATTAGCTTAATCTGCTGGGTTTGTTTCTCAAGAGGAGATCAAAGCCAGAAATTAGTATAACAATGTGAAGGAAAAGGAAGAAAAAAAATAATTACAAGAGTTTAGTATAAGAAATAATTCCTCTACAATTGTGTACGGGGTACAAAGAATTGTCAGAACTATTCTTGTTTAATGTTACCCACACAAGCAGCATCCACAGCTGGAAAATCCACAGCTGTGAGGAATTTTTTTAAAAAAACATACCTTTAGAGCACATGAGTAGGCCTTTTCTCCCACATTAATGGACTTGGGATCATCGTCATCCAGGTTTTCCCAAATCCTAACATCTCCATCACTGCCACAAGTTACAATGCAGCTGTGGAAAGACACAGGAGTTGTTACCGCTGAGGAACAGAAAGGACAACCACTGCAACTTCCAATCCCCAAATGGAAACTGTTACTAAAGTGTTAGTGTTTTTTTTAACTGAAACAGATAAATATTACATGATACAGTTAATATTTACATTTATTATGTCTAAGTAACCCATTAAACACGGGAGGGAAAAGTAACACCTGATAAAACAGAGCACCTTGAGTCTGACAACCACCCAGGCCTGGCACTCATCTGAACTGATCCTTAGATATCACAAGTCAATCCATTTTTTTCCAGGATACAGAGTGGATTTTTCAAAGGATTTAGTTAGCACTGATCTACCTAAGGGCATTTAATTTCTTCTCAAGACTTGGAAAACTTACCTTACAGCTGACTACAAAGCTGAGGGAAAAAAATAAAAGTGTTAATGTAACTGAAGCTGCAAGCTTAAAGTGTAGGGCTGGGCCTCCTGAGCCCTTAAAAAGTAATTAATACAGAATTAAAGTTTGCTGGAGTCAACTTCCACAATTTTGGGGTAGAAAAAAATAATCTGAAATCACAGAGAAAATATCAGAAGTTTGCATGGGATTTTTAATTAAAGGCATCATGAATCTATAATCAAATCTTGCATTCTCTTTTTTTTTTAAATGCTCTTTGCAATCCCCAAAAACTCTAATTAAACAGCAAAATGTTACAGAGCCAGTGGTGAAGCTCTGATGCTGCTCCTTAGTTCTGTAAGGTCTGCACAGCAGACACCAGCAGCAGTGGTCCAGTGGGATTTGGGAGAGATGTCTGCATCCTTTCTTAAACATTTGGTTTTAGTGGCAAATGAGGCTTTTTGTGGTTTCAAGGGATTGTTTTTACTAGACTAAACCTTACCAGTAGTCATCTAAGTTAATGAACTAAAGAAAGGAATAAAATAATATGGATTTAAACTGTACTCAATATATAAAACTTATCCCTTGAGTTAATTTCGAGAGGGCTTGGTTTTTTGGTTTGTCTTTTCATCAGTATAAAGGTAAAAATAAATACTTAGTTTATGTTTATACATTCAAGATCTAGCACATGAATAAAAAGAAAAGATAACAAGCCCAATGTTGGATTCCTTCAACTATATTTTTAATTTCTTAGTGTATACATAAACATATTTACTCCCACACTACACTGATTTCTGCTAGATTCAATGAAGTCACTCACACAGAATGTGCATATAGAATATTTATATATATATGATACACACTATAAATATATATGAGATAGATATGTGTGTATATATATGCTTACATTTAAGTTATAAATGAATCACTTCTAAACTCAGAGCACCAAAATATGCCACACAGGCAGTTCTCAGCACAGGCAAAACACAAAGGATTTCCTGGACCATGCCAGGCCATAAATCCATCCCAGCAGCAGTGGCTGGTACAGAACCTCATGGAATCACTAAGGTTGGAAAAATCCCTCTAAGATCACGGAGTTCAACTGTTCCCCCAGCACTGCCAAGCCCACCACTAACCCATGTCCCCAAGTGGCACATCCACACGGCTTTTAAATCCCTCCAGGGATGGGGACTCCACCACTGCCCTGGGCAGCCCCTTCCAGTGCCTGAGCACCCTTTCAGTGACGAAATTTTTCCTAACCCCCAGCTCCTGCGCAATCATTAGACAGGAACATTAGCCCAGCCCTCCCCCAGGCTCCAGGAAAGGGGCTGTTACCTCCCGGTGTCATCGAAGCAGACCTCGGTGTGTCCCTCGCTGTGGCCGTACCGCATCGGCTTCCGAGCCGAGGGCATCTTCGCTCCCCCCTGTGTGTCTGTGGAGAGGGGGGGGAAAAAAGAGGAGAAATAACATCAGTTAGAAGGAAACGCTTCGGGAAGAGCCTCAGCCGGTGGGGCCAGGTGAGAATTGCTGGGACACCCACACAGCGGGGATGGGGACAACATGGGGATGGGGGCACTGAGAGAATGGGGACATTGCGGGGATGGGGACATTGGGGGAATGGGGACGTTGCAGGGATGGGGGCACCGAGGGAATGGGTGCGCCAGGGGGGATGGGGACATTGTGGGGATGGGGGCACTGAGGGGATGGGGACATTGTGGGGATGGGGGCAATGAGGGGATGGGGGCACCGAGAGAATGGGGACATTGTGGGGATGGGGGCAATGAGGGGATGGGAGCACCGAGGGAACTGGGGGCACCGAGGGGATGAGAACATCGATTGCAGGGATGAGGGCACCGAGGGAATGGGGACAACACAGGGGATGGGGACACCGAGAGCATAGGGGCACCCAGGAAATAGGGACATTGCGGGGATAGGAATACCGAGGGAATGCAATAGGAATAGCGAGGGAATGCGATAGGAATACCGAGGGAATGCGACAGGAATACCGAGGCTGCAGAGGCCCAGAGGCCCGTGTGGTGCCGGGGCCTGTCCCTCGGCCAGCCCGGGCCGGGCCAAGCCACCCGCCAGACCCCAGCAGGGCCCTTCGTCCCGCCCGGCTCCCCCCACCCCGAACAGGGTCCCAGCACGACCGTGCCCTCCCCGTCTCCCCCCTCACCGCTCCCCGCCGGCCCCGCCGCCCGTTCGAGCCTTCCCGCGCCCGCCGCCGCCGCCCCGCCCGTCGCGGGGCCGGGCCCGCGCCGTCAGCGCCGGGGCGGGGCCGGGCCGGGCCGGGGCGGCCCCGGCAGCGGGATGGCGGCGGCGGCTGAGGGCTGAGGGGCCGCGGCTGCACCGCCGGCACCCGGCTGGGGACACACCCGGGACACAGCGGCCGCCCCCGGGGGACAACATCGCGGCACGGCGAGGTGGGCGCGGGGAGCGGGGTCGGCGGGGTTGGGGGGCGGCGGAGGGGTGTGAGCGCCGGCACCGGGGGGATCGGGGTCTGAGCCCCTGTCGGGCACGGTACGGGGGGGATCGGGGTGTCNGAGGGGTGTGAGCGCCGGCACCGGGGGGATCGGGGTCTGAGCCCCTGTCGGGCACGGTACGGGGGGGATCGGGGTGTCCTGTCACCGGGGGGGGTCGGGCCCGGGTCTGAGCCCCCTGTCAGTCACCGGAGGGGCTCAGGGGCTCCTGTCACCGAGGGGGTTCGGTCCAGGGTCGCCTGTCACCGAGGGGGTTCGGTCCGGGCTCTGCGCTCTGTCAGCGGGGGGGCTCGGTCCGGGCTCTGCTGTCACCGGAGGAACTCGAGCCGGGCTCTGATCCCTGTCACCGCGGGGGCTCGGCCCGGTGCCTGTGTCCCTGTCGGTCACCCGGTGGGCTGGGGGCTCCTGTCACCGCGGGGGTTCAGTCCGAGGTCTCCTGTCACCGCGGGGGACTCGGCCCCGGCTCTGCGCTGTGTCACCGGCGGATCTCGGTCCCCGGCGGGCGTTTGGTGTTCGTCTGAAAAAAAAACCGATGTATATCCCGACATTTATAGTGCATATATACGTTCCCTGTGTATACATCCCCGTGCGTGTTTAATGGCAGCCCCTCCAGAAGCTCTGGAACGGCAGGAAAAGCCCAAATGTGGGGCAGTGCCCGTCGCCCCCCCGCCCGCCCGCCCTTAGGCGGCACCCCGGTGGCAGCGGGGGCTGCGCTCACCCGGCTGCGGGGTCAAACCCCTTTGGGGATCGTTATGGTCATCATGGAATTACTCTGGAATTGCGGCCATCCCGATGCGTGCGCGAGGTGGAGTTGGCGGCGGCTGCAGTCAGGCAGGTAGCGATTGCGCTGCGAAAATCGCCAAGATGTTTTTTTTTTTTTTAGGCTGAAAAAATAGGGAGAAAACATCGTGGTGGATTTCTCGAAGGATTAAAAAAAAAACAAACCACAACACAAAAACAACCAAAACGCTAGAGCTCAACATACCTGAAATAAAGAGGAAAACAGCAGTTATCTGTTTTCCCTTTCTGTAGCCCTAATGATCTGGCCCGGTTTATTCCTGATTCGAAGAAAAAATTGCTTCCAGGCAAAACCCTTTTATCTTCAGTTTTGCTCTGCAGCGGGAGTTATTGGTGGTTGGGGTGAGCAGAGTGATTTATTTATATTGGAAATGTGGTTCTCTCTAACACTCACATTGTTGGTACTTTCATGAATGAGTAAGTGACAGGATTACAAAGCAGGCACGCTTCTGTAAGAAAAAATAATATACATATATACATATGGCCAGATTTCATTATTAAACCTCGTGGAAGCTGTGTAGAGACACGTTTTCCATGGGTGTAACCTACATATTTCAGCAAATCGTGATTTCTGGCGAGGGTAATCTGTTCTAGAGAAATGATTCCGAGCTGAACCACTTATCAGATGAGTGGGAAGACCAAGCTATTCTTGCTGCAAGCCGCTGCCTGGGATGGAGACAAATGCGCGTCGAATGTGTTTATTTTTCTTAATTATTTTATTTTGTCAGAGGCTCTGATACAAACTGCGCCTAAAGCATTTTACATTCAGTTCTAAGAAACAACTAAATTCCTTGTCTGGAGGTGCTGCCTGCTGGGATAACTCTCTGAGCGGCACGGGAAAAACCAGGGGGAGGCTTTTCGGGAGGGTGGCAGGGTCCCATGATCGCTTGGCCAAGGGACTGCAGGCCCCGTGGCTTTGTCACGTCCCAAGTGACACGGCATGAAATGCAAAGTTGTGCTTTAAATCCGGCTGGGAGCTCAGCCTGCTGCCGACTTGATTAATAGGTGCGAGTGGCTGCGAGCGAGCGGCGGGGCGGGAGCCGGGAATCGCTGCTCTCCTGCTCGGTTTCTGGGTGGAGCACGGAGTGTTGGTCATGGACCATAAAGCTTTGGCTGATTTAGTGCTCGAGAGGCTGCTGCGGTTGGCAAAGCGCTGCGAGCATCTCTCCTTCCACACGCGAGCAGAGCCCTCATTAAAGCAGGAGAGAGGAGCAGCCCTCACCTTTGGCACCTGCTGCTTCCAGGTCAGTTCCACCTCCTGGCTGTGAATAAAACAGCCCCAGTGTTGGGGTTAGCTGGGCATAACCCCCTTCCCCCTGCGCTTCTAGGGATAAATCAAGGGTGTTTCCAAGGAAGAAGTACTGTAGGTTACCACTGGCACCTTTAGAAAGTCCTTTGTGTGTGTGTGTGTGTGTGTGTGTGTGTGTGTGTGTGTGTGTGTGTGTGATTATTGCTTTAATTTGCTGGAAAGGCTTCTGGAGTCGAGTATTTTTGGACGGTGTCATAAAATAAAGTCAAAACTGAAGAAAACTTTGATTTGTTGTTATCCTCAACAGGTTGGGAAGGTCAGGTTTTAAAATGTGGTCTCCTGGCCAAAATCTAATCAGGCAAAATTAGCAAAACCAGCTTGTGACCAATGTGATTTTGTTTTAAAATAACTTTTATGTAAGTTGAAAGAAAAAGTCCTCCAGCTTATTACAGCTTGCTCTCCTCTCTCAGGATTTTATCAGCTCTAGAACACCAATTTCTGTAACAATTCCAAAATTGATTTATTGTTCTTTGTGAGTCTTCTTTTGTTTGATTAGAGGCATAATACAGAGAGGCTTTGTGTGCTTGGACAGAAAACTTTCCCAGTACTTCCTTCACTAGAAGGGTTGTGCAGTGTGGGAGCACTGGAGAGGTGGTGGGACCTCCATCCTTGGGGGTTTTCAGCCATGCCATGGCTTCCCTGAGCCCACATTCCCTGCTCCTTCATTATACCCAGAGGGAAGCAGCTTGATGAAGAGGACTTGGAGGCTTTGGGCCACAGGCAAGGATCCAGCAGCTCAGGACATAAGTATCTAGTTAAAGCAGTGTTTAAGTATTTATTGAATGAATAACAATTTTAAAAAAAGGGTCTGTCTACGCTTATGGTTTTGATTCTCCTATTGGAGTCATTGAGTATTTGCCACTGATTTAATTAGACATATGGTGAGGCTGTCTCTGCCTTATCACAGTTGTGGATTGCAGCCTACCCCTGGCGAGGAGGTAATATTGTTATTCCTCCAAATAGAGACTGGATATTGCTTTTAGTCTGGGCTTCAGGTCTTAGTGTTGAGGCATCAGCTCTTGAAAGGAAAAGCATCTTGTCTGCAGACAGGAGAGGGGAACCTCTGAAGGAGGGAGCTGGGCACATCACAAACCCACCAACAAAACCCACCCGGCTCTCTGCTTGTCCCCAGGGACTGTGGCTGTGACAGTGTTGGGTAACCTTAGACCACAAGCCGGGTCCTGTGGCCCAAAGTGAACTCTGCTCATCCCTGCATGTTGCTTTATCTTGGCCGTTTCCTCAGGGGGAAGAGTTTCCAGCGTAAGGGTTTTGTCAAATCCATCGGTAAGGGTTTTGTCAAATCCATCGGCTTCGGAGATGCCTGAGGTGTCCCCGTGCAGGAGAAGGCTTTTGGAGGCAGGACACTAATAATATCCCCCAAAAGGAGCTCAGCACTGTTGTGTGTGTGTGAGCTGCACAGCGCTGGGCCCCTCCATTTAACCTTGCCCTGTAGGGAAAAGTACACTCCGTCTTCCCCCTCTTTTATCCTCGCCCTCCTCTCCAGCCCTTAATGGACGTACATGGCATTTCCCTCGGATGCTGCAGTGAAAGGAAGAGCTGGTTTAGATGGATAGCCCGGAGTGGTAATAGAGCTCTGAATGCATCCCTGCCCTTTATGCCTTTCTCTTTCCGACACTCTTAGTTATTTTTGGTCCCCATTTTGTTGGTGGGGCTGTGAATCATGGATTTGGAAGGGTGTGAGGGTGTGATCCCTTCCTGTAATGCCAAACAGTGGGATTTGGGCACCTAAATACCCTGTGGCTGATGTTTTGGAAGGCAGCTCTCCTGCGAGCACACGGATGTTTGTAATACACTTGGGAAAAGAGGTTTTATCTCCTCAGTCAAGCTGACCACTGTTCCTTCACACAGTTCAAGCCTGGCTTTGGTAGGGTGACATCCCTTTTTTTCTTCATTTATTCCCTGCTCTTTTCACAGCTCTGGTGTTCTGCCTGATTAGCAATTCCTGCTCTGACGTGGCAGAGCTGGCGCCTGGGTTCCAGCAGCCTCCAAACCCCAGGGAAGCAGCTCTGGCTAATGGTGCGTGGCTTTACAGCATCACGTGCTGCTCCTCCAGCTTCACTTTCAGGGTTCAGGTGCCACTAATGGTTTGTGATAGAGAAAAGGTACAAAGGGGAAGGTGGCTTCACAGTTAACCACAACAGCAACCCAAAAAATTCCGTGAAACACTGAGCTTCTTTCAGCTGGAAGGCTCAAGTTAGGAAATAATGGGCCTTTCCAACTTCTGGGTTTTGTTTGTTTTGCAGTTTTTAATTAAAAGCCCATATTCTGCGTGTTCTTATCCCTTATATGGGCTAGATGAGCAGAATGAGATAATTGAAGGTTTCAAAAGCAATTACAAACTGTCATATCCTAATTTTTAAGTACTTGACTTTGCAACCTCAGTGATGTCTCTCTCTGCCCAATTAAAAATCCCATATGTAGAGAGTTAATGTATTTTTACTACAGGATAAATCTAGAATAACTTTTTTTCTTCAGATTATCACCAGGGTCAATGAGATTGCTTTTTCTCTTCTTTTTTTTAATTGTGGAGAAAATTCAGTGCTCCACTCTAGTTGTTTCTGGATGAAAAATATCAATGTTGCAAAAGCAATGAATGAACCCTGGTCTAAATAAAGATGTTTTGAGTCTCACTTATAAATACTGCCTTCCTTCTGTCTTCATTGTGTCTTGCAATGCTTTCGGTGAAAAGCGATTTGCAAAATCCTGAGAGAAGAAAAATAAATCTTTAGTTTAATCTTTGATTTATGATTACTGGAATATGGACCCTGTTCTATGATTCCACTTGGTACCAGCGAGGAACTGTTCACCTACATTGCTCTAATCCCATTTTTTCCCAACACATCTGCAGTATTTAACCTCTCTTACCCTCGCTCTCCATTTCTGCATCTCCTCCCTTCGCCTCCCTTTTCCTTTCCCCCGCTCAGCTCTCAGGTTCGTGGGTTTTAAATAAGGAATGCCACGTCAAAAATTCCTGGGTGAAAGTTCCATCTGGGCTGCATTTGGCCCGCAGATTGCCTGGGAGCCTTTTGGCACGGCTGTCTTGTTCTCTTACTGAAAGCAGAGGCTCGAACTCAGCCTGCGCAGCCCCGGGGGACCGCAGAGAGGTTGTGTCATGCTGGCTAATCCTGATGATGAGAATGGATTGAATGGAGAGAGGAAGTGGATGCCCTTTTCTTTTCCTGCTTAGTATTTACCGTGTCAATTAGTTGTTTAAAAAAAAACAAAACGAAACAAAACAAAAACCAAACCCAAAACGACACAACAGAAAACCCACAGCCGAAAAACCCCAGTGGAACAGAGGACCTGTGCTTGGTTTTGGTGCAAAAGCATCACAGAATTGTAGAATATCATGATAGATGATGGGAAATATTTCTACATCCTGCCACGCCTGGGGGGGTATAGCATCCGTACCATATTGCTGTCTATGTACCTTGAAAAAACCCTGCTCTGTTTTCGACTGAGTAATCAAAAGAGGATTTTTTTTTTAATCTATTTTTCAAGGTGCAGCATTCAAAAGGAAACCTCTCATCTGTTTGAGAATTCAATACACCTCTGGAAACAAAAGAAAATGAAATCAGCGAGCGTAGGTCTCAGAGAAACACTGATTTTAATAATGTAAACTTCCTTCTCTAATGAGTAATAAGCAGTTCCATCTTTCACGGCCTTTTAAAATTGCTTTTAGTAAGGGACTGGATTGTTTTAATCCTTTTCAGTATGTAAAGCCCCAGATATTTCAATCCCTTGGGGACTCAGTATTTCCTAGCTCCGTTTGAAAAGGCAGAGGAAAACAGCTTTCAAAAACAGACGGAATCTGTGACTGATAAAATTTAATTTTTTTTTATTTTTTTTTTTCATCCAGAAAGTGACCCAAAAGTGTCAGTTAAGAAACAGATCTCTGGCATCCCACCCTGTGGATTAGTAGCAAACAGGCATATCATCTAGGTACAGTAGCTCTTTGTACTCTGACCTAGTTGTTTCTGTTCTGGTTTGTTCCTTCTTGAAAGGTTTTTTGGAAGAGATGCAGAATTTGCTCCATAAACAGCCAAAGCAGTATCACCTGCCACGGGAAGGGTTTCCTTTAGGAACTGACCCTGGCACAAGGGGATTGCCAACACCTGAAATGCGCAGTCAGAATGGATTCCCCAAAACCACGTAAGACGGTTTGTTCCGGAGGATGATTTTTCCCATGGAAGGGTTAATTGAGCTTTTTCTGGGATCAGGCTGGTATGTTTGGGGTGTGCTTGTGAATTCACCTCCACGATATGATTTTTACATGGCCAGCAACTGATCGTGGCTGTTGTCCTGTATCCAGCAGTGATGTTGGATTGCCTGTGCATAACTGAGCTGTGCTTTCTTTTTCCCTCAGATATTTCCAGAAAGTGCCTCGAGGAAGCCTCCGTATGTAGAGAAACCCTACAAGAAGCACACTGCGCTTCCTGGCAACTTGTGAAGCAAAGCTGTCACAATGGCAGAAAACAAGGACAGCAGTGCTAAAAACGCAGATGTGAGGCCCAAAAGCAGCCGGAGCAGGAGCGCCGACAGGAAGGACGGGTATGTCTGGAGTGGGAAGAAGCTTTCCTGGTCCAAAAAGAGCGAGCACTGTCCTGATGCCGAAACGGCAAGTGCTGGGGGAAGAGCAGGGACTAATTTAAGGAGCCAAGAGAGGAAATACAGCTGCTCGTCCATCGAGCTGGATCTCGACCGGTCCTGCGGCCACAGGTTTTTGGGCCGCTCTCTCAAGCAGAAGCTCCAAGATGCTGTGGGCCAGTGCTTTCCCATAAAGAACTGCAGCAGCCGGCACGCCTCGGGACTGCCATCCAAAAGGAAAATCCATATCAGTGAGCTGATGCTGGATAAGTGTCCTTTCCCCCCGCGCTCGGAGCTGGCGTTCCGGTGGCACTTGATCAAAAGGCACACGGCCCCTATAAGTCCGAAAGCGGAAGACTGGATAATTGCTGATCTATCCCAGCACGAGGAAAGGGAGGATCAGCGGGGAGACGACGAGGTTGCCAACGGGGGGATGGACTCTCCCTCCCCGTCCTGCGACTTCACCGACAGCGGCTCCTCCCGGGGTGAGGCCACAGGTAAGGTGACAAGGAGCAGTAGGGATGAGAGCGACATGGACTCTGATGACGAAGTTATAACTCTGTGCACAAGTTCTAGAAAAAGAAACAAGCCCAAGTGGGAGACGGATGACGAGCTGCTGCGGATGGAAACGCCCCCGAAATACCACACGCAGATTGATTATGTCCACTGCCTCGTCCCAGACCTCCTCCAGATCAATAACAATCCCTGCTACTGGGGAGTCATGGATAAATATGCAGCTGAGGCGCTGCTGGAAGGAAAGCCAGAGGGGACATTTTTGCTACGAGATTCTGCCCAGGAAGACTATTTGTTTTCCGTGAGCTTCAGGCGCTACAGTCGCTCCCTCCACGCGCGGATTGAGCAGTGGAACCACAACTTCAGCTTTGATGCCCACGACCCTTGTGTCTTCCACTCTCCTGACATCACGGGACTCCTAGAACACTACAAAGATCCAAGTTCCTGTATGTTCTTTGAACCGCTTTTGTCCACCCCCCTGAACAGGACTTTCCCTTTCTCCCTTCAGCATATATGCAGAACGGTCATTTGCAACTGTACCACTTACGATGGGATCGATGCACTTCCCATTCCTCCCTCAGTGAAGCTGTATCTGAAGGAATATCACTATAAGTCAAAAGTTAGAGTGCTCAGGATTGATGTACCAGAGCAGCAAAGCTAGAAAATATTTTTGTGAAAGAAGTTGTCTCCGAAAGAAATTGTCTCTGAACAGGCAACAGTATGTTCAGTCTTTTTTTCCTTCTAGGTTTCTTTTTTTTTTTTTAATAGCAATTTGATTATTTTTTTTCTTTTTCTGCAGATTATTTACCACCTGAACTAGTCTCTGTCTAAGGCTCTTTTATCCCAATGTACTTTTGAGTCTTCCCAGCTCTCTTTTTTTAGAAATTATATTCATTGTGGGCTTTTGGTACTGTTCCCAGACTAGAGTTTTATGGAATTCCAGGTAGACTTTCTGGTATTTCTATAGATGGATAGTCGTTAGATCTGAAAACCCCTAAAAATCAGTTTTGAACTTGATCTGTCTTTTCTATTGTAGTTGACATGTGTTGCTGACATGTTTGAAATAATGCACTGTTAACTAAAGATTGACTCATCTGTATTTTCTGCATTTCTTTTAAAATGGGTGCCCTAACCTCCGTGTGTGTGTATGTGTCTGTCCGTACCCAGCACAGTAAATTCATCAGTCTATTTCTAACATTACTATTCCGAGCAAAATGAAGTTGGAAAGAGGATATGATCTTTCTATAAATACATCAGGGGACTAAATACCAGGGAGAGGAAAAACAATTCAAGTTAAGGACAACACTCAGTGCAGGAACAAACATGTACAAACTGGTCCTGGAAAGATTTTGGATGGAAAAAGAGGAAGGCTCCTCGTTGTCAGAGCTGCGGGGTGCTGGAACAGCTTTTCATTTTGTATAATAGCAGTAAAAAGCAAACTGCTCGTAAACTGGGATTTGATCAGTGTCTGGAAGGGATAATGATGTCGTTATTTATGATAGATGGGGCTTGGACTTGGAAACTCTGTTTCTGTGTTACTATTTCATTGCATGAAATACCCAGTTTTCACTAGAGGAGCTGCCGCTGGTGAAATGATAAAACACGGGGTGGGAGGGTGAGAAGGAAGATATTTCCTTAAAAATCTGCATATTAAACTATCTCATCCTGCATGGGTGAGCCTGAGGTGATGATGAGTAACCTTCCTACTTGGTTACTAGGGGGGTTGCTTTTTTAATAAGTATAGTTAGTTAGGAAAGAAAAAAAAAGTCTGCAGGTTTTTCTTGCGACGTGAAGCATTCGGTCGGGTGGCTTCCTGCCAAATTCCATGTACGGGAAAACCATGCATGGATAATGCTCCTGAAAGCATTACTTACATTACATGGATAGGCAGATCTGCTGCTGAATTGTTGGTGGAATCCCACTGAGGCTCAGTGGATCCGGGTTCAGGCAGGAAACTCCACGGCTCTCCAGGCTGGCCTGGGGGTGCAGCTCCAGGAGGTGCAGGAGGGACCTGCAGTTCTGTTCCCTTCGCCTGGATGTGCTTCATCTCCTCCCCCAAAACTGGGCCCTGAACTCCCCTGCCAAGAGTATGTGGGATGATGTAATTGGAGCTACAACAACCACGCTGTTTCCTCTCCTTTGATCACAGGGAGCGTTTGTGTCCTCTCAAAATGCTTCTGAAACTGAGCCCCGAGCCTGCAGAATTACAAACATGTTATCAAAACATCACAATGACCTGTGCCTGAGGTTATCACAGAATGGTTGGCGTTGGAAGGGAGCTCTGGAGATCCTCCAGTCAAATCCACCTGCTCAAGCAGGCTCACCTAGAGCAGGATGCACAGGATCACGTCCAGTGGGTTTTGAGTGTCTCCAGAGAAGGAGACTCCACAGCCTCTCTGAGCCTGTTCCAGGGCTCAGTCGCCTTCATGGTAGAGAAATTTTTCCCCATATTCAGATGGAACTCCTGTATTTCGGTTTGTGCCCATTGCCCCTTGTCCTGTCTCAGGGCACTGCTGGAAAGAATTGGTTCCCATCCTCTTGACAGGTATTTATTTGTATGGATTAATAGGTTCCCCTCTCTGTTGTGTCTTCTCCAGAGCTGAGGCCCAGCTCCCTCAGCCTTTCCTCATCAGAGAGGTGCTCCAGTCCCTTCATCATCTTCACAGCCCTCCTCCCCTGGACCTGTTCCAGTAATTCCTTGTCTTTCCTGCACTAGGCAGCACAGAACTGGACACATGACTCCAGATGAGCCCACAGCAGGGTGGAGGAGAGGGGCAGGATCACCTCCATCAACCTGCTGGGCACATTCTTCTCCATACAGCCCAGGATACCAGTGGTTTTCTTGGCCCCCAGGGCACACTGCTGGCTGATGGTGAACTTGTCCACCAGGACTCCCAGGTCCTTCTCCAGCAGGTCAGTCCCAGCCTGGACTGGTGCAGGGAGTTATTCTTCCCCAGGTGCAGGACCTTGGTTGAGCTTCCTTAGGTTCCTCTCTGCCTGTCCCTCCAGCCTGTCCAGGTCTGGTTGAATGTCAGCACAGCCTGTTGGTGTGTCAGCCACTCCTCCTAATTTTGTATCATCAGCAAACCTGCTGAGGGTAAACTCTGTCCATTCATCCAGGTAATTGATGAGTAAGTCCAACAAAAATGGACTGATCCATCCAAAAATCACTGATCCTTTGGGAATCTGTGTTTGGGCAAGGAGTGGTAGAGCACAGAGACTGTAGACTAAGCCTAAGCAATACTTCTGCTTGAATCTTTTAATTTCACCTTATACAGAATCCTACAGATTTGTGGACATCAAATCCCTCCTGCAAGCTGACTGCTCAGGAGTTACCAAGGAAGCTTTGCCGTGCAACTCCACTGAGGACCTGCCACCCTGCCCTCACCCCCACCCGAGCAGATAAAACCCTCTCCACTGAGCTGCTGCCACTGTGATGATGCAAACAGATTTCCAGGGACATCTGCCTAGAGACCAACCCGTTGGTTTTCACTGGGTTTTAAATAGGTTCTGAACCGAAGTCTCCGGGGAGAAAATGCTAACACATCAATCCATGGCATTGCACATGGATGAACACACTACAGGACAAACTCTCAGCTGCTGTGAATCAGTGTGGCTTCATGGATACACTTATAATGGCTTATACCAGCTGAGATTCTCCCTCCTCCCTATGCAAATGGGACCGCGTGGCTGATGTCAGAAAAACTGCCCTTTTTTCCTGTAGGATTTTCCTTGTACTCCTTCCATTCCTTGCCTTTTGCACAAACCGTATTTTACCAAGGGCAGCTTGATACTAATAAGTTTATTTTTCACCTTATTACCGCTAATTTCTAAATACAGCACAGGGTTCATCGCTGCTCTGCTCTTTTCCACTCTCATGGTGGGATGGTGGGCTGTGGCTTGGGTGGTTACAGTACGAAGGAGCTGTATCTGGTACAAGATCTGTAGTGACATCAGAGATATTTGCAGTCTGCTTGGTTAAAATTCTCTTTCAGAAAACTCTTAATTAGGGCAAAAGGCTCATAATTTTAGCTGGAGATTAGCAGTATTTTTATGGCAAGACCATAAAAGATAGATTGGGACCAAAAGTTGTACTTCAGAAGTTAGCCGAGGCCACCATCATTTTCACATTCAGCAAAGGTTTTGCCCCCTCAGAATGAAAGGCCATGAGAGAACCTTTTTTGGGGTATCATTCCCCAAAGCACTGCGTTTCAGCATCATTCTGGATGCAGCCTACATTGTTTTGACATGAGTTGATGCATCACTTACCCCAAAAACATCTTGAGCACTCCAAATTTAGGAGACCTATATAATACAGCAGTTGGGGGAAGAAGGTGCAGTGCATAAAAATAGTGTCTTTGGACTGGGGGGCAGTTAATTGCATTTTTTTTAGAGACGTGCATAGAAAGTATTGATAAATGAGATTTTGTGGAAGTTCATCCTATTTTTTCCTGTTTTATTTCTCCACCTGTGTGACACTGGTCCCTAATGACATTGAGTCGTGTATACACGTGCAGTCTATGAAAGATCCATGGCATGAACTACACATGTTTTAGAGAAGATAAGAACTCAAAAGGTCTATTGTGTTGAAATCCACGTACCTTTTTCTCTCTTTCTTCCCTCTTTTTTTTTTTTTACAATATGCCAAAAAATGTCATCCTAAAGTTTTCCTCCTGCTGCTGTTATTAACAGTCTTATCAGTGCTGCTCATTCCAATACCACCGTAGGACACCTTGATCCAAAGATAACCAAGACTTGAAGTTCAGTGTTGAAGCCCTCTAAAAAAAATTAGCCTCAAAAACAGGGTAAGAATTTCCTATTTCTAGAGTCACAGAATCCCACAGAATGGTTTGGGTTGGAAGGGACCTACCAGATCATCCAGTTCCCACGGGCAGGGACACCTTCCACTATCCCAGGTTGCTCCAAGCCCCATCCAGCCTGATCTTGAACACTTCCAGGGATGGGGAGTCCACAACCTCTCTTCTAAGCCCAAATTCTGCCAGGACAGAAATCCCACATTCTTCAGGATGAAAATTAAATGTGGAACAAGGAAAGGTGCTGAGATGTGCCAAAAAACCACAAGCTCAACGCAGCCCCCCCTGTTTTGGGGCACCCAGCCCACTTTGCATCAGGAATTGTATCTGCATGATGTGTTTTGTACTGTTTTGAAGGCTGTCCCATGGCAGGGCAGTACAAACAGAGCATATTGAATTGGTGTGAACAGCTTCTGGTAAAGGAAAAAGATCCGATTCTGGTAAATTATTTTGATGTAAGGGGGAAAAAAAACAGGTCAGGCTCTTGATGCACGCTGGCCAAACTGCATATACAAGCTATTTTTACAGGATGGTTTAAAAAAAAATTAAACACTCTTTCCATTAATCGTGTCCTCTGGAGTTTGCTTTTGCCTGGAGTGACTTTTTGCAGCTCTATAACAATGTCAGTCGCTGGCCCAGGGCCGTCGATACAGAGCGACTTCAGCTCCAGCAGCGTCATTGATGGGCTTGGGGTAGTTTGTGTGTCTGATAATTGGGAATACACATTTCTTCTCGATTTTTCAACTCTCAGCGCTTGTCTTGATGAAATCCAGGGCGTATTTGGAGCAGGATATGTGTATCTATAGCAGCACGTCCAACTTTAAAAAAACCCCAACCAAACAAACAACAAATTATCATGATTTAAATGCTTTCCTTTTAAAGATGCTGGTGTGCTTCCAATGTAAAGAAATCCTTGCATGATGCAGCCATACAGGGCCTTACTGTAAAACTGACATGCTCTTAAATAATTAAAAAGGGGGATACTTTAATTTTGAAAAAGGATGCTGGAGGAAGGAGGTTAAAGGAAGCTTTTAGTCAGATCCAAGGTTAGATTTATTGATCTAGTGATCAATCCTTTTCTCTTTCCTGAATTTAAAGCTAATGGGAGACTGTGGTCAGAGATGAGTGGCTTTTAGTTAAGGTTTTTGACTCTTATAAATAATACAGCAAATGTCCTAGTAAGTAATAAGAAATAAGATACTCACTCATTCTTTTTAAATAGAACAAACGTGGCAAACAAGACTCAGCTGTAATTTTTGAAGTCATTTATTAGACAAATTGCTCTTCTCTACTTCTTTTACAAGAGAGACATAAACCATTA